AGTACTCGGTATTTTTAATGTTAAATGTGCGTTTTCGTGTGTTCGTGTTCTATGTACTTATTGATTAAATGACGACCTTCATATATGAAAGTGAATAACGACGCCTTGTACGGCCTGAAGATGGTTCCCTGTGAACCGAAACTATAGTTGCCATAAGCAGCATATTGGATTACTGAATGCAGGTATTTAAACCATTATAAATTATTTCTTTACTTGAAAACACCACATTATCATAATACTATTTATGCCAAAGACAGGGGTTGGTGTAGTATTATTTAGAAAATTTGGTTAAGCTATAAAAATTGGTTTCGGTATCAAGAATCGAGAATCGATACATTTTGGTATCAACACCCACTAATTGTTGAAAAAACTGGTCTTGAAAAATCTGGAATTAGTCTTGAAAAGTCTGGGAATAGTCTTGAATTTTATAATGGAAATAAACTAGACACCCTGGTTAGGAAAAAAAATGTAAATATATCAAATATACAAGCTGTAGAGACAAATACTATGTTACTTGTTACCTTGTAAAGAGGGTAGTGGTGTATCTTACCCCAGAAAAGCCGTTTCCTGTGTCTTTTTACCGTATCAAACTCCTACATAACCTCTAAATTCCAGTAAACCCCCAAAATTAGAAAACACATTTTGTTATTGTTTTCCCAGCTTTTGCATACACATAAATTATAAAAAAGTAATGATAATTGTGTTCGGTAGGCTTACTTACACATTTAATAATATGATATGGATAATGAGGGTGCCACTTCCATCAATGATGATGACCCTAGGTTTGAGGTTATTTGCAACACATAGCTAAAATTCATGTTCTATCAGTGTTTTTGATAGATGTGTACTTTTTCTTTTTTTTTGATAGATGTGTAAGGTTTCTTACCATACAAATTAGATTTATATTAATAAATAAACAGTATGATATTGCTTAAAGGTGTATCGATACGGGTATATTGATACGCTCCCATGTATTGATACAAAATATCAACATTTTCCAGTCTTTTTATCAATATCCCTATGGATACGCACATCACTAAATTATACTCATTACGATTCGCTTAAGCTGCAGGTTTGATGCGGCGGGGGTATTTTATCATGCTTGTTTGTAATTTAAAATATCTTTTCAGGACGCCGAGACAGGGGGATTCAGTGATCGGCCGGGTGACATGCCAGATCCGTTCCACACATTGTTCGGAGTGGCAGCACTCAGTTTACTCGGCAACACTGAGTTGGCTCAGGTCAACCCTACGTACTGCATGCCTCAAAGCGTCATAGACAGACTGGGTCTGCGGCCACAACAACTTGTGGTTTAATTTAAACACTAACACAACTCGAATGTAAATCTACTTACTGAAATTCAGCACCACTATAAGTGGACTGTGACTTTAAAGTTTTTTCAGTGTTTATTTATTTATGGTCATTGATCATACATATTATATAATCACACAAACCAGTTGAGCCTATTATATAAAATAACAAATGTATTATTAAGTAAATAAACACGTATTTGTGATGCGTTTTACCGTTTTACTGATAACAGCTGAAATATTTATATAGAATGTTTTACTATATTTCTTTGTAAACTATTGCAAAATAAATGTATTTACTTGTTTATAGTACAGGATTTTTCCTTCTCCTTAGCAATTAATTGAATTTAGCTTAATTATGCAAAAATATATTAAGAATATATATATTTTATATATACGAGGCATGTTTTTTAAGTAAGTACCGTTTTTAAATATCTCCGTTGCAGTGCTGCGATTGGCATTTTGGACACTTTCGCTGAATATGTGCATCTATCTAATATGTGCAAGCCCTAGCCGGAAATTCGACAACAATCGGCCGTGTTTACATCCGGTATCGAGCATTCAAAATGGTGCCGCCAATTGAGACTGCCGCGGACTGTGAAGTGTGCGCTATAATTAGAGTTTTAAGTGCTAAAGGTGTGAAAGCCATTGAAATTAGTCAACAGATTAGTGAGGTGTATTGTGAGAACATTTATGAGTGACGGAATGGTACGCAGGTGGGTAAGGGCCAGCGAACACAGAAGGGCATCTAAAGACGGCCCCACCAACGTCCATCATGAGCAACGCACTGGGCAGCGTCACTGTCCCCAGTACCCAGTGTGTTGCTCATCATGAACGTTGGTGGGGCCGTCTTTAGATGCCCTTACCCACTTGTGTAAGGGTCACTCATAAATGTTCTCGCCATACACCTCACTAATCTGTTGACAAATTTCATTGGCTTTAACACCTTAAGAACATAAAAATCTAATTACAGCGCGTTGGTGGGGCCGTCTTTAGATGCCCTTCTGTGTTCGCTGGCCCTTACCCACCTGCGTACCATTCCGTCACTCATAAATGTTCTCGCAATACACCTACAATATGGCAAAAAATATACTTCTTTTTATTTAAATAATTATTTGTTTATTTTGTTATCTTGTCTGTGAAGTGGTGAGCGACGGAGAAGACTCTCCCCACACGCAGATGTACAGTCTTTGTGGGGATTTTTTTTCCTTAGTACTTTGCTTTACAGCCACGATTGTAATTTTTGTAATTTGTAATTTTGGAAATAAATATATTCTTATTCTTATTCAATGGCTTCCACAGTCCGCAGCAGTCTCAATTGGCCGCACCATTTTGAATGCTCGATACCGGATGTAAACACGGACGATTGTTGTCGAATTTCCGGCTAGGGCTTGCCAATAGATGCACATATACATCGCAAATGTCCAAAATGCCAATCGCAGTGCTGGAACGGAGAAGCTTAAAAACGGTACTTACTTAAATAACATGCCTCGTATATATATTTTTTGCCATATTAAATTTAAATTATGTTTTTTCTAACAGTATTTGAGAAATACAACAATGTTAGTCGTTAGTCATAACATTTTAAAATTAAGTTTGTATAAATTAAATTTACTGCCAGATTTATTCTAAATTTTATTTAAAGTTTGTATAAAATACTGGATTTAATATCAAGCTCTAAAACAGAAGTGCTTACCAGATAAATTTATGATTGAATTTATATGAGCTGAAGTCTGTCCATTTCCGCAGAGGTAGTTGTGTCGTGTTCGTAGTTAATGTTATGGCCAGCCGCATATTTCTCTTTAACTTAATGTTTCCGTGTCACGTGTTAAATCTTATATATACACAAATTTTGTGTATTTTGTAAACGGCATCATGTTCAAATAATTTTATGTTAGACAACAAGGGCTTGAAATGAAAGATCAGTTTGAAACTAGTCGCCCAAGACAATTGACGACGTAAACCAATTTTGTATGCTTATTCTTAACAATAATTTGAACATTCTGTAGTTTGATGCAGAAAAACATCTTTTGTCATGTAGGCCTAGATTATTTAGTTTTGTGTAGGGTAGGCTACTGACAGCACTCATTTCAACGATGATTTGAATTTATTTCCCCTACTTTTGTTATGATTCAATGAATATGGTAGTAATAAAAGGTCTTGGACACTTTTAGTAGTGCAGGCATCTAATAGTCAAAAATCAAATCACGTGTAGTTATTATTTACAGTAGCCTGAGCTGTAGATGGGTACTAGTCAATTCTGTGTATAGTCAATGGTATTATACCATAGATAAAACAAAACCATTAAATATTGGATACTGAAGTAGACGTTCCATCTATATGGACCAGATGTAGCCAATATTTTGTTAAATAAGAACGTAGTAGTGTGAGCCAGTCAGTCGCAGGTGACTAAAACTATTTTCTACCTTATTTTTTGTTGCTGGCCAAGTTGATGGGTCATAACAGTTGCTATAGCTCACAATAAGTCATTGAACGCCGCTAGTCAAACGGTGCTAGTTTGAATTGATAGAAAAGGTTTTGTTTTCGACATAAATCAGTAATTTAGATCAGCACAAGCTGTCAGTGGCTCACATCAACTACGACGATTTTGGTTAAAAAACTGGCTACAAATTTAACATGGGGATATATTGTCTAGTTAGTTGTATTCATAGTCAAAGATAAAACATACTCCCTTGGTAGATTTTCATTCTTATGGAATAGTTGAAGCCAATCTTATTGTTAATTCTGTACGCACTGTAGAGGTCGTGTTTTATTTCCAATTTGTTTCTTGTTATTTTAGTCGTTTAATACTTTGTTAAGCCAAATAAAATGATCTAATCATAAATAATAACTGGTCGCCTTGTTATATAACCAAACAGTAGAGCACAAATCATGAAAATAACCCTAAAATAATATAAATAAAATTTCTTCTACACTAGTGATTCTGTACAAAATTTGATTTTGATGTAGAGGTCGTGTTTTATTTCCAATTTGTTTCTTGTTATTTTAGTCGTCTAATACTTTGTTAAGCCAAATAAAATGATCTAATCATAAATAATAACTGGTCGCCTTGTTATATAACCAAACAGTAGAGCACAAATCATGAAAATAACCCTAAAATAATATAAATAAAATTTCTTCTACACTAGTGATTCTGTACGCACTGTAGAGGTTGTGTTTTATTTCCAATTTGTTTCTTGTTATTTTAGTCGTTTAATACTTTGTTAAGCCAAATAAAATGATCTAATCATAAATAATAACTGGTCGCCTTGTTATATAACCAAACAGTAGAGCACAAATCATGAAAATAACCCTAAAATAATATAAATAAAATTTCTTCTACACTAGTGATTCTGTACGCACTGTAGAGGTCGTGTTTTATTTCCAATTTGTTTCTTGTTATTTTAGTCGTTTAATACTTTGTTAAGCCAAATAAAATGATCTAATCATAAATAATAACTGGTCGCCTTGTTATATAACCAAACAGTAGAGCACAAATCATGAAAATAACCCTAAAATAATATAAATAAAATTTCTTCTACACTAGTGATATCAGTGTTGACGTACATGAACTAGACACGAAAAACAATATTCAAAATTTAATGAAAAGTCTACTTGCGTTGCTTAGTCAATGACTATACCAACATGGGGACTCAAGAACAACTCAAAGATAAAAAGAAAAAGACCAAGTCAAAACGAAAACGTATATTTACAAACTATTGTACAGACACAATCACTTACTATTAAATAAACCTATGTACAAAGAACTGATTTTGCTTTTTTTTAATATCCTTTTTTTCCACGAAACCTTGTGCGATTGTCAAGCTGGAAAATAAAAAGAATAATCATTAAAATGCACATATTTTTATTAGCAACTCATATTGTTATAGGCCTACTGCCATTCGTAAAATTTAGGCGGTTTGAGAAGAAGTTCCCCCACTACTTTTTTTAAAATCAATGTACCATGTTGCAGCTGATTGACATTTTGGCAAACCTCAGCTGTTGAATATATTGTTTTAAAGGTATGATCAGGTGGAGGTGATAGACTTCTTATCCCAAACTGCCTAAATTTTGTGAACAAAGTATAGGTGTTTAAGTTAACTAATTATTTAAAGAAAAGAGTATTAAAAGTGTTAGCCTATGAAAAAAAACATGATAATCATTATGACTAAAAATAATTTAGGGGTAGTTTTTAGTTTGATGGTATGTAAAAGTTTTACGTTAAAAAATGTATCTCGGTAACAAAAAACACTCCAGAAATGAAAAATACAAGTCATAAGATACCCTTCCACTTATTTTATAAAAAAAAAATAAATAAAAATTTTTTAATAAAAACTCAACTTTAATACTTTCTCATTAAATGGCGACCATACAAAGTAGGACGTTAATCCACACCAGGGAGTATCGCATCCACAGTGCATGCCTATAAATATCCACAATTCGTGACCTCCTAGTAGCTGGATTATAAGACGACGCCACCCGTCCCATAACTCTCAGAGCTATATCAGCAACTCTAAAATGAGGTATTTTAATTTGTTTTTACTGTCGAATTTAGTTTTGCAACTAACAGAGAGTGGTAAAATGGGTGTTAGTTATTACTGTGACATTGGCCTAGCCCAAGCTTGGAACATAATCAGAAGTCGATGGTGAATTCTTAAACAAAAGTTCATACTGTTCTTTTAACCCTGACAGTGTGTTTTTAATGCTCCAATAATAATTGTTTTAAGGTTCTCTGTTAATATGAACTTAAACAATACATTCTTACCATTGATCTCTTGCACTCAAAGAATAAGGTTTGGAGAGCAAAACATTCTTGCGGCACTCGAGGGTCTTTTGATTCCAAACATTCCCTTGGAGTTTTCTTTCTCTAAAAAGGTCATAATATTTCTCTTAAAAGACTTCAAGTTGGAAAAAACTGTTAACGGAACTTGCTACTTATGAGGGCTGTCCGTAAATTAAGGACTCCAATGGCCTCTAGTCTGGGCCAATCCAGTTAGTTTGCAAGCACCGTGTTCTTTACTTCCCTCACCACTATATTCTAGCCAGTCCAGACGTTAGTAGTAGCCAATGACGATGCAAGGGGAAATTTACAATCTTGCCAAGGAGGTATAGTATTGTGAGATTAGTATTCTAGGGTCGAAGGAGTCTACTGGTATTTCAGTCCACCAGTTACCAGGTGTGATTTTGTTACTCCTGGTGTTGGCAAGGGTTAAATTAGAACTAGAATTGACTATATAGTCAACGGAACTAGCTTGGTACCTATCCTAGTTAAAGGATTTTCTTACAGGATTAACTTTATCAATTTGTTTTGTATTTTTGGTTTCTAACCCCATAAGACAAATTTTGAATTGTTTTTTAGTAAGCTACTTTTAGCTAACTCATAGGTTGTTGCTAAAATTGCTTTGATAGAGACATTTTAACAATGTTCTTCTGTATTTAAATTTACAGTAGGTCTAACTCATTTGACCTAATGCAAGAATTTTATGCTAGGCTATTCAGCTGATTGCATGTCTATTGTAATAAAATATTGTGGGGTATAGAATGGGGTCTGTTGAAGGGAGATTGTAAGTATGTTATCAGTTACATTTATTCTTGTTTTATCTGCTTGTAATATTATTGTTGGTTTTGTATGATCCTAGTTATTAAGCTCCACTTAAGTTAGTTTATTATATGTTATTCAATGAGATGAAATGGTGTTGGCCGTTGGTAAATAAATTCCAAAGCTTTGACTGTAAGTAATGCCTGGTACTGATCGTTTTTGCCAAGTAGAGTTGCACAAAGCACGTAAGACAAATTTGAACTCATTCGTTGAAAAAATTTTTTTTTATGTTTTGGGGTTGTTTTTACGTAGCCTATTAGGCTAGATGATTATATTTACCTTAAATTGAAACAATGTCCACATTAACCAACTTTGGTACAAGCTCATTCACAAAAAAAAGGAAACTGTAAAAAACTTACATCTTTACAACATTCAGATTCCAAAAGGCACATCTTCAGATCTGCCCTAACACCAGCACAAGATGATTGGTCGGCTAACTCAGCAGACTCATCATATTTCATTCCCATCTTCACAATACGGTTTCTTCAACTGAAAAAATCAAATAAAAAATAAACTTAGGCCTCTTTCAAATCTTAAGGCCTAAGTGATAATAGGTCTTGCTAAAAAATAGTTTGATCGGACATAGTCTCGATATAGCTTGCTGCTTTAGGAAATCTTCCCAGCCGAAAACGTTGACAGGCAACAAAAGTCCAGTTTACTACACGGCTAAAACTTAGTAGACCATGACATAGGTATGCTAGCTTACCTATTAGGCCTCCCCCGGGAGGTAGAATAAACTGTTCTATGGCCATAGGTAACCTGTACTTAGAGGAGAGTGGAAATGAAATGAGCCCAATGATTAACTTACACCACCGTACGCTATAAGCTGGCATAGAGCTTAGGAAGGGGGCTATCTACTCACTAAATAGCCTATCTCGATATCAAGCTAGGTTCGGAAAAGGTTACTTATCTTTGGCTGCACTATAGTTTAGGCCTACGTCCTACACTTATTTGGATGAATATATTGATTGATTGATGATTTCATTCGATATATCAAGTTTGGTTGGTTAGGTTAAAACCTAGCCAAACTAACCGAATGAAATACCGTACGGTATCTATGTATCAATATTTTTCATTCAAATGAGTGTAGGAGGATGTAAACTAAAGAGCAGCCTTATCTTTGCTGCAGCCTATCTTATAAAGTTTGCTATTAATATTTTACCAACATTAGTGAGCACACATACTACATTTTACTTACATTATTTTACTACATCAGAGTAATGCAATGGTTTTGCATCTGAGCTAAGGTCTAACCTTAAAAAGGTGGGAAGAAAGATTGTGTGGACCCAGGCAATGGAAGAAAAAAGCTTTAGAAATTAGACTATTGTATTTATAACAAAACAGATTCAACATATTTTAGCAAAACATTCTGAAGAAGGAAAGGGAAAGATTTCCCAGACGAAAAAATAATCAAGAGACAAATAATCAAAAAACAATCAACTAAGCCTAGGCCTATTTAGAGTTTATATATCACTAATTAATATATTATATATGGTAAATTACTTACTGTACACGTAATTAAAGTTTTAAAGATTGAATAAGTAGGAATGAATTAGGTTGAATGTTAATTTTATTGAAAATTAAATGTTTATAATTAATTAAGATCGAAATTTGAGGTTGAGGTTAGGTAACAGCGACAGCTGAAGCTGACTCTGACTTCTTGTGACTTTCTGTTTCTGCTCTGCTGACTGACTCTGAGTGACGCTGACTGGGCTGGCTCGGCTGACTGCTGTAGCTGAACCCACTGTGGGTTGTGGGTGAGTCCAGTCCAGTCCCAGTCCAGTTCTTGTAAGGTTTACGGGACGCTCCTTGTCCGTGATGCACAATCATGTGCACAATTTAAAGCCGGGTTTACACGATGCCAGTTGGCGAGACAATTGTCAAGAGACAACTGACTGGCTTGGAATTACTGGCTTCGTGTAAACACTTCAGGCCAATTGGCAAGCCAATTGTCCCGCCAATTGTCCTGAAATTCAGTTGTCTCCGGGAGTAGACTGAGGACAATGAGCTGGGCCGAGTGAGGCCCCCACCCCTCGAAATCCCAGTTGTCGTGACAATTGGCGCCGTGTAAACGGTGTAGAGGCCAATAGCACTGTCTTGTGTTTTGGCAGTAGTACCCTGGTTCACTGTAAAATGCCTGGGCAAGTGTTGGCCACGTGTGAACAGGATCTCGTTCAACTTGCCTGGCCTACGACAATTCCAAAACCACGTGATGCCAATTGGCAAAGACAATTGTCTCGCCAACTGGCATCGTGTAAACCCGGCTTAAGCCGGGTAGCTGGGTTGACACGATGCCAGTTGGCAAGACAATTGTCAGAAGACAAGTGCCTGGCTTGAAATTACTGGCTTCATGTAAACACTTCAGGCCAATTGCCCTGAGATTCAGTTGTCTCCGGGAGTAGACTTTACCGGGGTTTACACGATGTCAGCTGGCGAGACAATTGTCAGGAGACAACTGACTGGCTTGGAATTACTGGCTCCGTGTAAACACTGCAGGCCAATTGGCTTCCACCAATTGTCCCGAAATTCAGCTGTCTCCGGGAGTAGACTGAAGACAATGAGCTGGACCCAGTGAGGCCCCCACCCCTCAAAAACCCAGTTGTCGTGACAATTGGCGCCGTGTAAACGGTGTAGAGGCCAATAGCACTGTCTTGTCTTTTGGCAGAAGTGCCCTGGTTCACTGTAAAATGCCTGGGCAAGTGTTGTCCACGTGTAAACAGGTTCTCGTTCAACTTGCCTGGCCTACGACAATTCCAAAACCACGTGATGCCAATTGGCAAAGACAATTGTCTCGCCAACTGGCATCGTGTAAACCCGGCTTTACTGGCTTCGTGTAAAAACTTCAGGGCAATTGGCTTCCGCCAACTGTCCCGAAATTCAGTTGTCTCTGGGAGTAGACTGAGGACAATGAGCTGGGCCCAGTGAGGCCCCCACCCCTCGAAAACCCAGTTGTCGTGACAATTGGCGCCGTGTAAACGGTGTAGAGGTCAATAGCACTGGCTTGTCTTTTGGCAGTCGTACCCTGGTTCACTGTAAAATGCCTGGTCAAGTGTTGGCCACGTGTGAACAGGTTCTCGTTCAACTTGCCTGGCCTAGGACAATTCCAAAACCACGTGATGCCAATTGGCAAAGACAATTGTCTCGCCAACTGGCATCGTGTAAACCCGGCTTTAAGGACTATGAACTGGGCCCAGTGAGGCCCCCACCGGCCCCACCCCTCGAAAACCCAGTTGTCATGATAATTGGCGCCGTGTAAACGGTGTAGAAGCCAATAGCACTGTATTGTCTTTTGGTTTTGGCAGTAGTACCCTGGTCAATGTAAAATGCTTATAGGCAAGTGTTGGCCACGTGTGAACAGGTTCTCGTTCAACTTGCCTGGCCTACCACAACTTCGCAACCACGTGATGACAATTGGCTTGCCTACACTCACGAATATTAGAAACACTGGCATCGTGTAAACCCGGCTTTTAATGGGGTCGCCTCGCTAGGCCCAGATCATTGTCCTCAGTCTACTCCCGGGGACAACTGAGTTTCAGGGCAATTGTGATGGCAGTTGGCAAGGCAATTGGCATGAAGTGTTTTACACGAAGCCAATAATTTCATGCCAGACTATTGTCTTCCTTCAATTGTCTCACCAACTGGCATCGTGTAAACCCGGCTTCAACATGAAGTGGATAGAGTATTCGGCTAACAACTATTATTTTAAATGGTAATTTGTTAAAAACAAAAATATAATATTTATTTATTTTAATTGCCAGTAGATAAACGATGCTTTTTGTTTTTCATGAGGTGTATAAATATATAAGTTTGTAGGCGTACCTACCACCACGTGAGCACGCAACATACAGCTGTCCGTGTGAAAAGCATGCATTTTCTAAATTTAAACCGGCGATAGTCAGGGATTGCCATTGCCCTGCTTGTGCCTATTAATGGTGACTGTGAAAGCAAAGAAACAAAGGAAATCGTAGTCGCTTGAATTCAAAGGACAATTCGGATGAAATCATCGGTATTCTTGGGAGTAAGACTCTTTCTCCTTTAAACTTACCACTGATAATTGTTGCTTCGATCAAGTTTGGTGTAATTTCTTAGTCGTCAGATCATAATTAATTAACTTTTGTATTCTTTGTGAATTCCAGGCTAATGTATTGGAGGAGGCTACGCATAGTTTTAGTAAATTTCCCTAGTAGCTACCGTAGGGCTCATCGTAAGACTTGAGCCCGGGACCGATTTATATATGTGTGTGTCTGTGTCTGTGAACGCGATAACTTCAGTACCGTAATTTTTGTTTTGGTTTTAAGGTGCAAGGCAGGATGAACTTCAAATATTAATCATGTTCTAAAATTTTAGTTTTTACTATTCTGAGGGGTAGTTTGAATGAGTACGTGAACCATACCAGCATGATTGGACGATGGGAATGGGGTTTTACGAGGGGGGTTTTATGGGCTAAAAATAGATTTTTCTCATTTTTGACCATCAAAACACAAAATTTCCCAATTTCTCTCTAGACCATTTTAAATATTTTAAAAAGACAAATAATTTTGTATAATGAAGTGTATTTTGTGTGGTTATTGCTTACGGAGAAAATTTAAAATTCCTATATTTAATGGTTCTCCATTAAGGACTATGGATATTGTAAAATTTGTAATTTGCTTGTTTATGGATATATTTTAATCAAACTTGGCAATTTACTAATTTTATACTAAACTATTAATATTTTACTAAAAAAAAACACACTTTATTAGCCTCCCTGTAGCAGCAAACCCAGGTACTTGTTAAACATAATTAATGTTATTTAAATAGATTTAATTGTATATCAATTCAGGCAAATGGAAATTTGCTTAGTATGCAGGTTTGCTGCAGCGGAGGTATTTGTTTTTATATTATGTGTGTTTTGTTTATCATATTTTTTTTACAACGAAATGATGCAATTATTAATTTATCCCTCTACCAGAGGGTCAGTGGTTTTGATATAGACCTATACAATCATCTGAATTGGATAAATTAATGTCATGAGTCTAAATTTTAATCACACATGGTAAATTGTTTATTTAAAATTTATTTATTTTTGTAGTTAGTAAATAAACTTGTTGAATACAAACTAAATAGTCCTGATACTCACCAACCTTACTGATCATGATATTTAACATTTTATTTTATACTTTCATACTAATAAACCTAATTGCAGAACAGAATTGTGGGGATGAGGACTGCAACATAAACTCAGTTAATAAAAGCAAAAGTGGGAATGAAAGCTGTATAGTTGGAGAAATAAAATATAAATCCACAGAAGGATGCATTTGTTGTGCCTGTAATTTATCTTCTGGACACTATTGCGTGCATTGTGAGATAAAAGGTACACACATATATTACCCCTAATTATATAGGTACAAAAAAAACGAGAGTTTTTAAGAAACACATCAGTGGCTTAAACATTTTCAAAATGTTTTATGTCGAAATAAATGATTTGTAAACAAATTTAACCCAGCCATCCGTTGGGGAAAAAGATCCAGTCTAAAAAATTAGGTTTGATACAGTAAGAGTAAGTTAAAGTACCTTCCGTGTACCTCGTTAGTTAGATTTAATCTAAAATGTGGGCTATTATTTAACATGTTTTAATATTTGTTCAGGGGTTGACCTGCAGTTTACTACCCCAATGAGTGCACCTCTTTGGTATCAGGTCAAGTGGAAACGAAAACAGTCAGAACAGTCATTGAGAGCATTCAAGAGCTCATTCCCAATATTAAACAAAGGACATAAGTTGAATTTGTCTCAAAAACAATATCTTGTCTCCTTCACCAGTTCACTTCAATCTGATATTCCAGTGCCAAGAATCTGTAATTGGTCAGTGCTGTAAAGTGTAAAGCAAAGTAGAGAGTATCTACATAACAGTTAAAGGCCCTTTCCTAAGTGGGGGACGAGTAATGTGACGGGAGCAAAAATTTTCAAACCAATGTATAAGCATAATAGGAGTGTTCTTAGTACACCCCAGGATCGTTGCTTTCGCAGCTTGCGTATTTCGTAATTTCGGTCAAAATCTGTTACGTGCCCACAACTCCAAAACTTATTAATATGAACATTTAAATGTACTACAAAATGTAGTTTTTCAATGACAGAGTACTTTGTTTAGTAGAATGGAATCATTTCCAGGTACATTTATTTACGAAGGCATTGTTGTCAGTCTTATCTTATTTGTCTGGGAGAAATCGCGGTTCACTGTCGCGTCGCCAGCAACGGCCCGCGGTAATGAATCACACACACTGTTGACTTCGTCACAACAATGAAATAACAATGAATTTTAGTTCAGTTATACTAAAAAAATGTTTACCTTTTCGAGAAGTTTGGTTGGGTTATGTTGGGTTAGAACAGTGTCATCTACCATAACCTAACGTAACCAACCAAACTTCTCGAACAGTTTAAACTTTGCAGTTTAGTATTCTACTATTTTGTGTGTTTTCTCCAAATTTATATAGCAAGTAGATGAGATCAAAAACCTATTATAAATATTCTATTATTCATTATTTTATTACCTATAAAGGTCTCAATAAGTTATAGAAATGTAATTGAAAAAAAAATAGAGTTGTGGGTACATAACAGATTTTGACCGTGATTTCAAACCATTTGGTATGTTTGTCGCTCGGTAAGTGTTGGTCTGCAGCGGGTTTGGTTA